GAAGCTGTGGCTGCCCCATCCCTGGCAGTGTTCAAGGCCAGGTTGGACACAGGGGCTTGGAGCAACCTGCTCTGGTGGAAGGTGTCCCTGCCCGTTGCAGGGTTGGAGCTGGAGGAGCTTTAAGCTCCCTTCAACGCAAACCAGGCTGGGATTCTACAAATAGAAACTGTCAGTGCCTGCAGCCATTACCCTTTCCGTAGGTGGGGGCCTTGGCTGTGTAAGTGTTTGTAAGTGTATTGACCTGTTGTTTTGTGTACTCAGAGCTGGTGTCTCCTCACAGAGGGCGGGGGGTGAGAGGTGCTGTCAGAACATCAAACCCTGGAGCTCCTTCTCATTCCTGAAAGTTTCCTCAGGAGCTGTGCATCCCAGAGGCTTTGGCAACAACTGCTTAAAACAACCCACAGGAAGACATTGGTCTCTTCAGAGACATGGTTTATTGGTGTTACCCCGTCAGCAGTATTGATCCAGTCCCAAACCATCCAGCACTGCTGCTAAGGTGACAGGCCTGTACCTAAAGTGTTCATGAGACCTTTCTGTGCTGCTCTAAGGCTATTTCAGGGACGATGTGTAACACTTGAACGGCCTCCTGGGGCTGATGGTGCTGCTGACCACAGCCCCATGTGGGAGAGAAACCACCCTGCTGCGTGTTTGGGGATGCTCAGGGAGCACTGCATAGGTTCTGCAGTTCCTGCTTGCGTTTTGGGGATGAGCTGGTTTCCCACCCATGCTTGACTGCCCCTGTGGCCTGGGAGAAGACGTGCCCTGACCTCAGCTCAGCCCAAGGAGCAGGCAGACAGGTCTGTATTGAGCTCCCTGCAGTGCATGCTGAAGAGATGATTAAAATGTGAAAAGATGATGGTGTTTGCCAGGCTGCCACTCGGATGAACGCAGAGGTGGAGCCAGCTCCTCTCTGGGCTGATTGCGCTGGGCTGGGCTCACCTCCCCCTGGCCTTGCCTAATGGCAGGGCTGACAAGGTCCCCTTGGGTGACGATTTGCCTCTCACTGTTCCTCCCCTGCGCCCAAGTGCCTGGAGTCTGGGACAGAAGGGAATGAAGGGGAAAGGTTTGCTGTGGGTCCCGTGTGAGATGAGCCCCAGCAGGATGTGGTCCGGGCGGAACGCTGACGTCTTCCCGGCTATTCCTTGTGGAGGCACCACACGAGGGTCTGCCCCACGCCGGTCATGCTCACCACGCGGTAGCCGCGGCTCTCCAGCTTGTTGAGGACCACGCGAGGCGCATCGTTCACGTAGTACTCCCAGCTGCAGCAGGGACGGGGAGAAACCGTGTCAGGGGAGGGAAGAGGTGACACTTCCCTTGTGGAGGTGACTCTGCCTCAATACCAAACCCGTGTCCAGCTGTAGGACTGTGCTGCCCATCACCCGCATGATGCAGTGCTGGGGTTATCCAGACAGGAAAGATCAATCCCACCCGGCTGCCCACCCAAGGGGAAAGCCTGGCGAAAGCATCATGTTAAACTGGGATGTGGTTTGGGCACCAGGGTCCAAAGCCAGTGCTGCTCAGTTACCGGGGCTGGAACTGCAGCAGAGGGTTCACAAGTGTTCACAGCTGGGAATTCATGGGAAAAGAGGAAAATTCAGCCAAGTGGGGAAGAAAGGCTCAGGTGTTTCTAAGGAATGAAACCCCAGTGTTCTGCCTGTGTCAGAGCATGTCAGTGAGTTGGGTGGTTTTGAGAGCCTGTGCCTGGAATTTGGGGATTGGGAAAAAACGCTGCCTTCAGCCAAGCCTCTGAAAACCAGGGATCATCAGCCCTCAGCTGAGCTGCCAGACGGGAGGAGCTGGAGCTGCTCAGCCCCGGCAGTTCGGAGCAAGGAGGAACCAACACTCGGGATCCTCATCCAGGTTTTGTTCCTCCAGGGCTGTGCTGGCTCTGGGTGTTCGAGGCAGGAGCTGCCCTTCCCTCTGCCGCATCCCCAGGCAGAGGACCCTGGGGCTGTGCCCACCATCCAGCAGTTGGGATTGCAGAGCAGCAGAGCATGGACACAACCCAGGCTGTGCTGGGGAAGAAGGAGCAGAGCTGAAACAGCAAGTGTGACCCTCGGTGCTGGACCCGGCAGCCTTCCTGCTCCCTCAACCATCTCTGGATGCAGGATTCGAGCAGATGGGGTAAGATTCGTGATAGTTCAGCTCTTCACTGACTCACTGAGCCAGATAAGCTGATAACGATGGGCTGCAGCACCACTGGTGATCTCGTTTGGGCACCTTAAAGCCCTCTACCAATTTTCATACCAATAACAACACAAAAAGACCCAAAAGCATTCCCAAAGTGGCTCCAGCTGAGATTGCAAAACATTAATGGTGTGCTGAGTCCTTTTAAAGCATGAAACAGCACCGAGATGTGAGAGGTTTCTTTTTTAGCTGCTCAGGACAGACTATACTTTGCTGTAATTACAGATGTGGTGGAGAGATAATGTGTATTATTACAAGTGCCTTTGAAGTCAGTGCTTTCTCCAGGAGCCTTGCCACATACCCTTCGGATTCACATGGAGCAGCTGGTAAATATTATTCCCATTATGCAGAGGCAGGCACGGGGCAGGATTGTTTGGTACCTGGCGGAGCTACAGAACGGGGTGGCTGAGCTAAAAGCAGAAGGAAGCGGAGCTGCCCAGGGCTTTAAACGCAGCTCTGCAACGGGGGAGGCAATGCCTGCACATGGTGAGCATCGTGTGTGCCACCAGCTCCATCCGAATGGGGATGGAGCAGCTGGGAAGATGTGCAGAGCCCTTCATCCCAGCGGAATGCAGCAGGGAACTGAGGAGTCACCCCAGCCTGGAGGCCCCTGCACACCCTTAGAATCGCAGAATCAGATGGGTTGGGAAAGACCTTGAAGACCATCAAGTCCAACCATCCTTGAGCATGTGGCCCAGCTGCCCTCCAGATGTGCCAGAACCAGAGACTGGGGGAGTGTGCCCGGGGTGGGATTGGTGGGCAGGAGCATCCTCCATGCTGCGCTGAAGTATCAGTAGGTGCTTTAGACCTCAGCTCCCGGAGTGAACAGGGAGGTGCTGCCTTTCATCTAAGACCAAACAGCACCAACAGCATTTCTAATCACAGCAGGTTGTGAATGATAAATTCATATTAAGTTCAGGATGGTTGAATTTTTGTGTGTATAAAAGAGGAAAAGATGTTGGGCTGGTTCAGCCTGGAGAAGAGAAGGCTCCTGAAGGGGACACCTTAGAGCAGCTCCAGGGCCTAAAGGGGCTCCAGGAAACCTGGAGAGGGGCTTGGGACAAGGGATGGAGGGACAGGCCAAGGGGAATGGCTTGAACCTGCCAGAGGGGAGACTGAGATGAGCTCTGAGGCAGAAGCTCTTCCCTGTGAGGGTGCTGAGGCGCTGGCACAGGGTGCCCAGAGAAGCTGTGGCTGCCCCATCCCTGGCAGTGTTCAAGGGCAGGTTGGACACAGGGGCTTGGAGCAACCTGCTCTAGTGGAAGGTGTCCCTGCCCGGGGCAGGGGTTGGAGCTGGAGGAGCTTTAAGGTCCCTTTAACCCAACCCAGGCTGGGATTCTATGGTTCTGTGAGACACTGGGGATGGTGCCTGGATCCATCCCCTTCTCTGCAGCAGCCGGGGCTCAGGCACTTGGTGGCTGCCCCCGGTCAGGCTGGGGCAGAGCCCGGCTGCCCTCAGGGCTCTGCTCCACACCCGGGGCCGGGGAGCGGCCGCTGCTGGGATGTGCCACTTGCTGGAGCAGAGCTGCGTAACAGGATCTCTCCCATTAGAGGGAAGTTCTCCATCATTAGAGGCAATTAACGTGCTTCATCCCAGTCCTGCAGGGCCCCAGCAGGTCCTCGCTGCTCAGACCTTTTCTTCCAGGCTCTCTCCGAGGCCGTGTTTAAGGGTTTGGGGCTCACGGAGCTACAGGCAGGGCGAGACCCGCAGCCCTGCAGTCAGCGGGGCGGCAAATCCCGCTGGAGGTGGGAC